GCCCTCCCTGGGGCGGTGTCCCAGCTCTCTGTCCCCCCCAGCCCTTCTGCCCCCCCCCCACCCCAGCCTGCGTCCCAACCGAAAGAGAGGTGACCCTCAGCCCCTGGCCCCACCGGGCTGGAGGGGAGGGGGCTGCAGGCAGGCCCCCCCCCGCCCCTCTGTACTCAGTGCAATCCCCCAGCCTGTGGTGGGGACAGGCCCCCCCCAGTCCCTGCCTGGCCAGAGCCCCCCCCGGCCCCGCTCCCCGGCCCTGCCGGCACGAGGCTTTGGGACGCGGTGGGGACAAGGGGCTCCCCCGTGCTGCCCCTGCCTGCACCCTCTGGCTCGGGTGCCACGGGGCTCCTTCCCCTCTATACATATATAAATATAACCTGAGGAATAAACCAGAAACTACACGTGACCAGCGCTGTGTTCTGGCTGGTGGGACGGACCAGAGCAGCAGAAACCCCCCCCCAGGTCATGGCGAGCCGCCCCGCTTCCCTCGCACGGAGCATCGCGACGCGCTTCTCCCCGCTCGGCCCCTTCCTTCTTCCCCATCGCTCTGTCCCTCCATCCGTCTGTCCTTCCCTCCTGCCAGCCTGGAGTCCGGGAGCACCTCTGCAGCGTGGCACTAGCTGGGGATGGGGGACACGGTCCCCCTGTGCCTCGTCGCCGGTGGGAGCCGCTTCCCCGGTGTGCGAGCGGGACGATAGCGGTGGGGAGACCTGACCGCAGCTTTTTTGCACCCACAGTGCCAGGGACTGTGGCGGCTTTGCCCCGGGCTTGGCACCGGTGGGTGGGATGGGAGCGTGGACACGGCCAGCAGCTGCCCCTTGAGTGTGGGGCTGCTAGAGATCACCCTGGGGGGTCGCCCCTTTTCCCCGAGCTCCTGGTGCCCCATGGGGATGGGACACCCCAGGATGGGGCTGTCGTGCGCCTGGTTCCCCTACGGGGCCAAGGGACATGCTGGGATGCTGCTCATCCCAGCTCCTCCGTCGCTGCGCACAGACCCGGGAGCCGGGTGGGGGGGTCCCCAAAGGTCCCCTCCAGGGCAGAGCAGCGTGGCGGGGCAGGAGGCTGCATCTGCCCCGTCCCCGTCCCTGTCCCCATCCCTGGTCCCTGTCCAAGCATCCTGTCCCCCCCCAGTGTCCCTTTTGGTGGCAGAAGGGGGGGGAGGACCCCATCCTGTCCCCCCCCCCGCTACGCCAGCAACCCCACACAGCATCACCAGCCACCCCCCCAGGCAGGGCCAGTGGGTGCTGGGGAGCTCCCAAAATCCAGGGCCAAACTTCGCCCGGTGCCCTTGGGCAGGGCGGTGGGATGGGACGCAGCTGGGGGGGGGCCCAGCTTGTGCCCCCCATGTAGCAGGGGAGGCCGGGGCCAAGCAGGCGGACACCTCGCTGGGGGTCCCTCGCTCCGGGGGGGTCTGTTGGTGCTAAACACCTCCAGGACGGCAGCGCCCGCTCAGCCACCCAAAAACCGTTCCCACCCCGCTCCCCCCCCAAAACACCCCGGATTTAGGGATGTGCCTGGGAAGGGCCCCCCCCAGGGCCCCCACCCCGGCCAGCGCCGTGCAGTGACCGTGACACGTGGCTCCCTTTTTATTGTAACGAACCGCCGCAATTAATAAAGATGACTTTGGTTACTCCGGGCCAGCGGCCACCTCCCCGAGGGGACACGGCCGGTGCCGGGCTCGCCTTTCCCCCGTCTGCTGCCCCTTCGTGTCTGTGGGGTGGGAGGGGGTGTC